TATGCAGGAAACATAGCAGATCCAGAACCAGACTTTGGAACATTATCCCAACCAGTCCTTTGCTTTTTGTTAAGTCACCAAATAAATAGGTTTTCAGTAATGCTCTGTCCTTGCTACATGTTCCCATAAACAGTCAGATTAGTACCCAACACCCCCCCCCCCTCCAAAAAAAAAAAACGACCTCATTTGGTATACTTATATATATGTTGGTGTTTATTGGTACTGCGCAGCATTTGAAAATAGGACCGAAACTTAAATTCAATACAATACTGCATTACTTTAGAAAGAAAATTACAGGTCTGTAGTATCTTCATAAATTACTTGAATAATTTCAGTTGTGTGAGCATATGTGCACACAAAAATAATAGATGTGCCCACTAAGGAATAAGCTGCCTATAAAGATTAAGTACAACAGCAATACTATTGGGGTCCAGGCCGCTTAATCATTAATGCAATCAAGGCTCTGATACCAAAGAATAACTCATTAACTTACACTCACAATAATTTGTAATAGTGAAACAATGAAAATGGGAAAAAGATTAATTACAGATGGGTGTGCTTTATGGGGAGAGAACTACAATAGAACATTCTTTAATCAGAAGGCACAGCTACCACAAGAACAAGAAAAACAACAAGACGAGCCACTAGATGGCTCTATAACGGAACGGGAGCCAGAACCGGTATTGATATGGCCGTCAGTTTTCTAAGATAAATGAAAGCTATTCTCTGTTATCTGCCCATTTGTACCAACTGGCAAGTAACTTTGCCAACAGTCCATAAACGAGGGCACAAATATTGTCTTGTTGATTTCGGGCAGTGTGGTGCAGACCTGATTTCAGGCAAAATATGCAAAACAAGTGATTGCAAAATAATTATAAATCTTTTAACACATGCAGACAAGAGGAGCCAAAGACATAAAAAGAAACAATTCAAATAATACAACCATTACACAAGGAAAAAACACATTTATTTGATCTTTAAATGTAGTAGATACACATTTGCAACAATCGCCTGTGTTTTCCCATTTGGCCTAATGACAGCACATTGACGTAATGATTGGAAGAAAAGCTCCAGTACTGATTCATAATCTAAGGCCGAGATCATGCCTGCGATTTGGTCACAGGTACCTTTATTTTCACGTTAAGAAAAAAAGACTGGAAGATTAGCGGATGAATGACAGCCTCATTTCACTGCCACTGCAAATGAGGTGAACGGGGAGGAAGCTGAGCACCTTCTGTGACGCGTGTAAACACAGTGTGCTGGAGCCTTGGGCTACAGAGCCTCCTTAAAAATTCCCTGAGGTCCATCCAGGGACTCCATTATCTCCCTCGCCGTGGAGCTACGTGAGCATCCTGTGTTGTGCTGGGGGACGGTTCTGTCACCGCTCTGAGGGACCCGCGCCACGCAGCGAGTGCCGGGATCCTCTTCCATTATCAGCAGATGCCAGGGTGTCTTTATCTCTCGGCGTTCGCAGAGGGCTCCTTCCCGGCAGGCCGCTCCAGAGGCACAGACTCCTTGGCACCGGATCACTCCGCCAGTGCTGGCGAAGCCTGAACTCTCCGAACGCTCCCGGGCAGCTGTGAACTTCCGACCCCGTTTCCCCGGATCTTTTCTATCCTGGAGACAAGTGTCAGCGCACTGTAACCTCCCAATTCCTCCTGTCAAGGATTTAATTTCGACAGACACGCCGCAGCTGTAATTAATGTCAGTGCCTCGTTGCCTGCGATGCCCCGACTTGTGCTTTTTTTAAAAGCGGGATATTTTACATTTGCTGCTGCCACTGCGCCAGAGTGCACCAGTACACTTGAGAGACAGGCTTCAGCTCTGACTGTAAGCCATCTGCTGCTGTCACTGTCTCCAGTTGCCTCTGTGCTCCTATAAAAAAACCCTCCTCTGTGAGAATGTGAACGCGGAGCCAGACCTGACTGCCGCCACGCAAGTGACCAGCTAATCCCCTTAACACAGGGGATGATGCAGGCAGCAGCCCTAATTGATTCCGAAATAGCTGTGGTTCTATCTGCGTGGTAAACGGGGGCCTTTATGTGCCTTCCGTGGGCTGTAGTGAAGGCATCAGGATGCAAGCCATGATGGTGTGCTGCAAAATCTGATAAGAGGCTTAAATTTATGCGGATGTGCTAAAAAAAATAAACACAAAATTAAAATTCCGTTAAGATATATGGTGCAACTCACGTCACAAATAAGCACGTATGTTTCCGTCTTCTTTTATTGGCAGACACTGCATATCTTGCTTAGTTCATTTCCTCTGTCTCTTGGACATTTTACTTTTTTCACTATTTTTTTTTTAAACATCACAATGTATCGAATCCTCTTCCTGATTCTAGGAGGCAGAAAAAGTGATTATTATGGTCCCTCTAAGCACGGTACTTCCTGACAGGTTTTTTTTTTTTTCTTCTTTTTCTTATACCAAGCCGCTGGTTATTCTGTCAGAATTATTTTTGCACATCTCAATTTGCAAATGTGATTTATCGCTTGTGCAGTGTGATATGTAAAGCGCACAGAGATATTTAGCTTGGCTTAGTCAATTTTAAACATTACATTGTGTACAAATTGGACTTTTAAGCACAGCTGTGCATTTGTTGCAAAGCAACTAACTATGTTCATGAAATTGTACCAGGAGTCGATAATGAAATAAAATAAGGTACAAAGGCCAATCACATACAAATCACAAATAAACTTCAGTTTATTTTTTAGCAAGATCAGTCAAACATTTATTCAAGTTGACGTTCATAGATGGTTCAGTTTCAGAGGCAACTTGAAATATGTTTAAATTGCCCTTCAATTGACCTTCAAATCAACTCTTCCATTACTTTATATGTTGTGGATCTATAGTGCCCATCTACCGCCCCCTAGTGGACAAGGCCAGGTTTTTACTAAGCTTGGCATCATCTACACCAGGTGGGGAACCTGATCCATGGAGGGCCTCTATGGGTGCAGGTTTTTGGATTGACCTCTCAATCAGCCAATAAGAGTGGGTCCCAAGGACTACAGATGAGAAGCACTGTTTTATTATTGGCTAATCGAGAGGTCACCCACAGCGGCCCTCCATTGAACAGGTTCCCCACCCCTGATCTATACAATAAGAAATGAATGACAGCCACCAAAACTGACACTGACCAATAGTATGCGCTCATGCTCAGCTATCATATATCACCAAAGCTAACACTGACCAATAGTGTGCGCTCATGCTCAGCTGTCATCTACGCCACATACTTTAGCAATGTGCAGCTAATTTCTGCTCTTGCTTTTTCTGAGTAGCATTAAAACAATGGCCCCCATGGAGATAATGCTCTAGAAATGTTGCATATTGAAATATTCAAATGCAAACACATTCACTTGAAAATTAGTGCAACTTTAAAATAATAGTTAGAATTACTAACATAAAAACGCAGACATACTGCAGACAATTATGGACTGGACATGATTATAGGCTTTGTGCGAGGAATACCTGTGACTCTTGTTGTTCAAAATAGGACAAAACATGCCCTCTGTGGCTAATTGTCTGAGCTGAAAATACTCCCAAAAGATATTTTTTATAAGTGATTAATCTCACAGCAGTGGCTTCCTTTGTAAGAACTTTTCTTTTAATACAAAACAATACCAATAATGGTTTAAAATAATTAAATTCTCTGACCTAGGCCAGATGCTATGCTGTGGAACTGTTGATTAGGAAGATTTCATCCTCATTTCGTTGCATAGTCTCTGGCTTGCCGGAAGGAGACAGAGAAAAATCATTCATATTCAAGCAAATCCTTTTAATGACTGCGCTAGCTACTAAATGAGAGTGATTCCTATAGGAAGCAAGTGCACCTGTATATTCCTGTTGAGCAATATGGTGAGGATTCAGTATTTCAGACTGCTGGACCATGACAAATTTTTCATTCAACACAAACTGCCAGAGATGAAAGTACGCACCGTTTCGCTCTGTGCCGTCTTTGTAGTAAGACGGCTTTTTCATACAGTAATAATTGTTTCTCCATAATTTTCGTCGTCCTTGCGACTAGGCATAATCACACGCATTAACATGCTATTTTTGCGATGGGGGATGAGGGATAATGGATGGTGGAAAAATGGAAGGAAACAAAAGATATATGGGACGTTTCATTTGTATTACAGGTTCAAGATAATTACAAATACAGGCTCGCTGCTGGTACTGAAATGTGTCAAAGACAGACATTGTGCAGATAACACTGAAATGCAATATCGATGAAATGCAAAAACGATATCACAATGGCAAAAAACAAACAAAACGGCATTATGTTAAACCGCATCTTCTATTAAAGGAAAAGGATATGAAAGAAAAATGTTGCAGTCATATGACATCTCCATTATCTTACAAAAAGGAACACTTTAACAGGCTTTTGGAAGGCAGAACAAGGCAAACTTTGTTTATCAGACCTTTGCATGACCTGCCTCTTTCAGTTACATAAAGTTTCCTGCGAGTTTAATTTGAAATGCACTGAGAGTGTCAGGGCAGCCAGTGGCAATCGCGCGCGCGTCTCCAGCTCAGTACAAAGCCCCCTGTCAAACACGCGATAGGGGGCTGTCTCCGCGCGCGCCGCGTGCAGATAGGGGCTCTGAAGATGAAAGCTCTTTATTACGAGCAGGGAAAACAGGAAATAAATAAACTGAATTTACATCTTAGAGTGAGCAAAGAAGCACTTGAAGCTTTAGCCATCGTTTGTGATGTGCGATCGTAATGGCTTGTCGTTTCTAATGAGATTTTAAAAATATTTCCGCTGAATTTGGTTCCTTTTTAGTACAATATTTGACAACCAAAAAACAACAGTATACTTAAAAACACTGGGCGTGTTGAGACTTGATTAGATGAATTTCTTTGTTGACAGCACATGTCAATTTCAGCTTCTGCACGTATGGATTAAAAGCAAATGAAATTGGATAGAAGGCCAGTTTATTTAGATAAGATAAGATTTTTTATTGTCACTGCAGGTAGAGCAGCGAAATGTCATTTATGAGTACTCCAGCTAGCACGTATGTAGTACAGCATACAGGAAAAATACAGAAAAACACACGGGACAGAAATATGCACAATACAAAGACGTATGAAACCAGAAATATATACTGAAATAGCTGTGTATATATTTTTGATGGGTTAATCTACGTTTCGTATTTTTCAGGTGAATCATCTTAAAAATTCCATGGCAAACAATGTATTTACAAAATATCTTCTAGGTAAATATCTTCGCTGAATCACATTGCAGGCACTGCAGCACATATGTGTTGTTTTATCCTTGAATATAATGTGGGACAAAAAAAAAAACATGTCATATCAACACAGTTTCCACATCACATAGCAAACATAAATCACTGCTGCAATTTGCAAAGAGTCGTCTGCATTTGCCGTTGGATATGTTATGTCAACATAAGATTTTTTAAAGGAAGTCTTGCGTTGTAACACCTAATTCTTTCAGCCTTAGGCAGTCCTATCAGCTTATTTTGAGCGTAGGTTATGTGTATTATATTATTGTTAAAAAAACGTGCACCAAATGTAGTCCAGTGCCACACTTGACTTTCATATGTATAGCATAAACAAACGAATTAATTCCCCATGTCAAAAAGAAACATTGTCTTAACGGGCTTTGACACAAGCTAGCACTTGTACATAAAACGCCTTCTTTCATTTCAATAGCCAAACCCTTATCGCGACGAAGCACAAACGATTCCAGGATCTCCTTAACAATCAGTTCATAGTTCCACTTATGTCTTCCCATTTGTTTCAATAGACTCTTATATCTTCTTCTTCAATTGTAAAAAAATAAAAAATAAAAAAAACATGATACAAAGTGAGAGAATTGGCCTTCCTTTGAGCTAATATACAAATGGCACTTCATGAATTAATATCTAAGCCTGTTGAAATGAATGGGATTCTGAGGCAGCACTGCAGTCAGTCACTGTACAGTTGCTAAGCAGTGAGGTCACATGTGGCCTCCACATCAGCTGCAGTGAAGATGTACGGTAATTGCTGCCTCTTCACCGGGACGATGACGTCTTGCCATGTCTCAGTCCAACCCTGGCTTTCCCAGTTAGGTTCTCAGTTGATCGGAACTCAATAGACAGTGACAGTAAAATGAACACGTAGGAAAGCTATATATTTTGAGGTACCAGTGATGCTTATTTTTTTGAGAATCACCCCAGAATTGTAAACGTGTCTCTAGGTCCAACGTTCGTTGCAAGGACAATAAATTTTATCCTTCTTTATCAGGCTATGCCCTTTATCTGTTTTTCAAATTCAATTAAAGTCAGTGCAGGCACAGCCTTCTCAAAGGGATTTAATGCAACCTGCGAAAGATACTCCCTTCACTCGGAGCACTCGATCTCATTTTGTGTATCTGCGCCGAATTCTAAGCAACAATTAATCCCCTTGAAATGGAGTCTCATTGTGTTGTTAGAATCACGGCACTAACAAGAGCTCGATCGGGGCCGTGCGCATTGGCTGTCTAACACGCTGACAGTACAGAAAGACAGAAAAAGGAGTGTAGAGACCACGACCCTGCTGAATATTTACCTTAATAAATTATGAATGTAATTTGTTGGGCATAGGGACAATATTAACTTTTAATGTACAGATGAGTCGGCAGGGATCTGCAGTGTGTCACACAGGATGAAGAGCTATTTCTACTTGAGTAAACATTGTCGGGGATCATTCCTGCTGCTGATATGTGTCCAGCTGACAAGCCTGCTGTAAGACAGATACAAAAACACCCCTATCTCTCCTCTCACGCTACCCTGGGGGCAACCGTTTACACTCACGCAGACTTTCCGCAGGACTGCATCTTAACGTTGAGCTGAGGCATAATGAACAGTAAGTCGTCACCATGCCATCACGCCTTCGTAATAACGAGGGCCGCGTTGTGGGAAAACGGGGCCAAGGCCGCCTCTTTCGTCGGCGTCGACTTTGTGGGACTTTCACCGGTTGGCTGCGGCATTCGGCTTCCAGGGGGCGCCGTCCTTGCGACGCTGCTCATTTGCGCTGGGATTTGGCTCTAAGCAGGCCGACACAGGGACGTGTCAGTGTCGCGCCGCATCCCAATTCCTCCACGGCGGATCGAAACGTGAATCAGGGCGGCTGACTCTCCCAGCTCTCAGACATGAATGTGTGTAGAAGGGCTCGCTTACACTCATAAGTGGGTCACATTCAAACTTTACATTCTGATAGCATCTTTGTAATCTTTGGGCAGAAAAAAAAAGAGAAAAATACTTGGGATACTTAGATATATTCTGTTGAACTGTAGCAAATTACATGCTTTTCTGTTTGTATCTCCCACAAGGACAATTATGTTTGTTTGTTTAAAGGTGCTGTTTATAAATACACATTAATTCCGGTTATATTTAATAACATGATAGAATACCAACACTTACAATACATTGCATTCATGCAATTGCAAATGAATTCAAATTAAATAAACATCCCAGTGTGATGAACAAGTATTTTCTTGCATGGTGACAAAGGCAACAAGTATGAAAATTGATGTGAATCCCTGATATTTTATTTGACAATAATTTGCTGCGGTTCCCCCATAAAGAAACACATGCTCACCATGTGGAATGAGCGAGCTGGGGTACATATAGGCGTAATGTCAGACTGTGCTGCCCCACTGAGCTGCAGTAGCCTGCTCATTCAAAGGCCAGCCAGACCAAGAAATGATTAAAGTAGAGCACCTCACAAACTGTTTTTCCAAACACTCCGCTGTCTTGAAAGATGGAAAGGCTGAAAAAAGAAGACAACAATGTAATCCACAATGCTGCAATTTCTTTAAAGCGTGTAGTGACTGTGTAAAAGCCTTGTGAAAATCAGAGAGGATGTTCAGGCTTTTCTAAGCACGCTACATTGCAGTGTACTGCAGTGTTCACTGCCGTATACCCTCACTATGGCAGAATGTTTATTTCAAATTATACTTGCTAATGAGGGCAGAATTTATTTTTGCTGTCATTTACCATGGTATTAGGGAAAAAAGGAACTGAAGTGCTGATTGCACAAGTATTTGGACACCTAAACTCAATATGTCGTGGAGGCATCAAAAATCTCCACTGACTTTTTGCACTAGGATATTGCAGTCTTTTCCTCCTCATTCTTCATAGCGGATTTGCTCTGCCTCTCTGAAGAATCACTTCTGAGCAGCAGTTTTCAATTCTTCCTTCAAATATATATGTGCAAAGGATTTATTCTGGAACGTTTGATTTAATTAAATTCAATTAATTTCTATTTTCTACCATGCCTGCTCAGAAAAGCTTAACAAGGGTATAGTGCTCAACATGTAAAACAATGAAAAACAAGATCACATCGACATATCTGTCCATCCATCCATCCGTCCGTCCATCTGTCCATCCATCCAGCCAGCCACCCAGGAAGCCAGCTTCAGGCCATTTCTCCTGGTGAAGGTTGGGATGTTCAGAGAGATATAGAAGCAAGACACTGCGTTGGAACAAAGGCTTCAGATACAATTACTAAGATTAAAGGCAAATCTTAAACAAGCGTCACAGTCAGTTGTGTCACAGAAAGATGCTTGACTGTGTGTTTCCTTCGGAGCATCACAGACTTTTAATGTCCCTACACATTTTAATAGCAATTATTATACTAGTAAAGGCATTTCTGTAATAAAATGTGTATAATCTGAAGGAATGGATGCCAGTATTACAGAATCGCATATATTTAAGCACATGCACACAGAGACACAGAGTGCAATGCCGCAGAAGCAGCGTAGGAACTGCATAAAAGGGCTTTCAAATAATAAATGTAACTTAACTGCTTTGTTGATGAATCGCTTATGCAAAAAAGCAGGACAAAGTCAAAGGAAAAATGGAAAAAAAACACGTCCATTTGTCACAGGGTGTTATACTGTAGATACACACCTTAGATGTCACAGGGCAGCATCTGCATCAATTCCAAAAGGCATCTTTCTCTACATCTCAGTCTTACTGTCATTTCATCCAGCATGCATCCCAGCCTCGTGTCCTGTGCTGTTTGTCTGCTATATGCAAACATATTGTGTACAAAACTATCTAAATAAACAAAAAGCTAAAGGCATTGAAAATGCTAACAGTAGGAATTCATGCTAAGATACGTAGCCGCGAGTGTCCATTATCCTAAACGGCATTAACAGAAGCAATTTTGACATAAAAAATTCAGACTCCACATACGCGGCAAAGCTAACCAGGTAAAGTTAGCCAGTGAAGGCACGGCAAATGCCGACGTTTAAGAGCGGCTCAGACAATTAAAAGCATCTCAGTCCCACTAAGAGCACACCAGGATTTTCAGTTTCAGCACAAAGGCGTTAATAAAGAAATAACACGAGGTGCTAAGCTTTCTATCTGCTGGCTTGGAGTTTTAAGACATGCATTTCAATTATGTAGGGGGCTTGTTAGAGATGACAAAGAAGCAGAGAGCACCTTTAATTAATCATTCTCTCCCTGTGAAGATTGTCGTGCCCTTCAAACTTGAAAGCCGGCTGCAAGAGCAATTATTTGAACAGGGTCCTGCTCTGTTTCCGTCCGTGTTATCATAGTCCTGCTAGGTAAACACGTTAGCCTTATTTCGAGGGCATTTCGATAATGAGAGCGGTATAACAGGACAGCCATGCTTTTCTGGGGCTGGCTTGTTGTTTTATTTGCTTCTACCGATGGGATTTCACAGTTTATATAGTGGTTACAGGGTGTAGACTAGCCTGAGGGATGTTTCTCTACGCTGCTTACACGTGTTCAGGAAAGACCTGAATCTATAATATAGTACCGACACTCACTGCAAGCTCCGAGAGAGACGTCCCTCATCTCAAAAGTATAAGTTTGTAAAGTGCAGCTGGAGAGTTTCTCACATGTTGAGTTGTAATTGTGTTTCAGTGTGTGCAAGCGCTGGAATAACCTGGTGTGTTGCGCTAATGTCAGCGCAGTGCTAACCTATTCCAGGGGAACGTGACAGTGATTTAACTGCCAGTGACAGCGCAGTTATTTGAGTTGTCACGAATTTCTGTGATTTGGCTACGACTCCACTGCACAAGCAAAACACTTTTTCTCGCTCGCAGAGTTTTGCTTGAATCTCTCTAATAATTCAGGTAGTTTCCCCTCTACTGGACCATGGCATCTTCAGCAGTTGTTCCTTTGCTTGTTGGTCACTCTTATTTAATCCCTGGGATGTTCACTGTATTTCATCTAATATTTTGAATTACATTTGAGGGTCACTGTATTTATGCTGCAGACTCGCTGTCTCATGTATGATAAATCCAAACATGAGTAGCATACAAATGTAAAGATTTTTAGGACATTCTTATTATTCTTTCCACTTCTTCTTTTTAAAAAAAAAAATCCAAAATCCAAAAATCTTATTTTAACAAGAACTGCAGAGTATTTCTCTGCATTAACGTGCTGGTACTGAAATGAAGGCCTTCCACTCCGACTTCAATGAGCTCTCTGCTCCTTTGTCTCCCGGTTCATTCATTTCTCGCGACGTTCTTTCCGCCAGTCTGGCAGGATGGTGAGTGCGTTATTCTCGGAGACAGAGAGTGCTGTCAGGCTCACTTTCTCGGCGGAGCAGACTCCTGCCTAGAGACTCTTAGCGACCCGGGGGCCAGCGCCATCCGACTCTGCGTGTCGTCACCGTGCTCCCCCCGTCGTCCTGCATGTTCACTCTGGGTCATCAGGGGGACCACGCCCATTCTTCAGGGGGGGGTCCTTACAGTTGCTGGGGGGCGCCTGTATCCTAATATAGACAAATGGAATCAGCAGTGTCTGAGTATCAGAGCTATAGCTAAACACTGACTGGGTTAATGCATTCAGGTCTTCTCCGTGTTTCTCAGAGGGACCCCCCAAGGCCACAGATGATTGGTTTCCTGTCACTCAAGTATTTTCCCTCCCTTAGGCAGTTGAATCCGGTATGTTCTGCATACAAGTCACAGAGGCACGGACAGCCGGTGTTCCCGGCCTGGACATAAATCTCTGATGGACGTCTTTTGCTTAAGCGTTTCTCTCTGCTTGTTTCAGCTGCCAGCTGCCAGATCTGCAGTGCAGGGCTTGGAAACACGGTGCGGGGAAAAAAAGCAAGGCGTGTTATTTACCTTTACGCTCTGATTTGTTTTTCTTTTAATAGTCAGGACAAAAAGCAGGGAGGTGTAATGAAATATGAAAAGCATGATCATTTCATTTGCAGAACACCCTCATTTCCTGTGAGAAGCATGGTCGCAGGAGGCAGAGGGCACTGGGAACCAAACGCAGACACTTTATGCTGAAACGCCGGCAGGATCGGACGCACCTTCATAACCAATGAGCTGGCAGCATTCAGAAATACTTTCTCTCCTGCGACATGCAGAACACTCAACGTGAACCCCGGCAAACAGAGCGGCTTCTCTCTGCCAGCTATGCCAGGGGCTTTAACAGCTGCAACATGGCACACGATCAAGCTGCTTGACCTCCCTTATTCTTGGACTCAGTCTGCTTATGTAAAAATTATGAAATATATATGAGAGTTCAGGTGGTTCCGTGGAGTTGACCTAGATCCTCTATATCTTGACCTCACGCCATCACTTTAAAAGCAACGTAGCTGTAAAAATTTGCAGGTTTTAATACCTGGATATAACCAAATACTACAGAGCAGTAGAGTGTTTAATTAACTAATTTTCATGCATGCAGTATTTATTATCTGGCTTGCTTTGCTTTCACGGGTAGCTACCAACCTATATACTGGGCGCCCACTTTCCACAGAAATGACTAACAAGTTGCTTTGATGATTATCGTTTGATGTTGTGGCACAATAGGTCCTGTCGCCATTACATTACCTTTGCAATTGGCATATGGTCTTTTTTGTCAGTCTAATCTGCTCTCTGCTCTCCAAGCGACACGCTGCCAGTGTCGAGCCCCCGTCAAAGAAAACAATGTCATATGTCATAGTTTGCAAGAAACATTGCCGCTAACCATCAGTGCCCGCATTCATTTTAAAGTAATTTAACGGATTATGATTTGAAAGTGATCAAATTTCAGCACTAAAAGCTGTACCTTTGACCTATGTCCTGATATAAAAAGGCAAGAACGGTTGTCCGGTTTGGGTTTGAGGCAGAGAATAATTGACTGTTTCTTACAGGTTCTCTGTTTTTGGGGAATTGCGGGGGAGACGAATGTATTTAGGGAGTTATGGAAACGTTTATTTGTTGCGATTTATAAATTCCAAATATCTGGGGTCAAGTGTTTTGCTTTCGATCTCTTACCCTGAAGAGGCAAGAGAAAAAGTACACTGCGCAGTGCAAATGGCGCTGGGAAAGTGACTCGACGCAAATTGTCAATAAGACAATTTTGACGGAGCTGACTGACAGCCAAGCGTTCCTTCCAGAATTATCTTTTAATTCTGACTCCAATGTTATTCCTAAACTGCTGCAGCTGGCGCCGTGTGCCAGACAGCAAATGGCAAGATGAGAATTAATGTTGCTTGTGTTGAAGCTTTGATGGATTTGGGTTCACTAGCTAATTTTTCAACTCTATGTAGATGCTGGTGCCTGAAGATCGGAGTTGGACAAACTTTTATCCCATTTGACTATTTATCTGGGTAGTGAGTGTATATTTGCTCATAAAAGAACATGATTTAACATTAGAATATGTGGAAATTAATGGTAACATGATAAAAAATAAACAAGAATTTACTGAAATCTTGTTAGATGGCTAGACGAACATCGCTTCTGTTCCCAAACCTCTCCTCATGGGTACCTCAGCCATTCCATAGATTTGTTCACCACCTGCACACTTAATTAATGAACTTAATTAGTTAAATAACTCAGTGAGGTATTGATAAGCCGAACAAGGTGGGTATTGGTCAAGTCAAAGAAATACATGGGTCTATGGGTGGTTGCTGCAAATGCTGGGGTGATGTTAAGAGAGATTTTGAAATGGCTAAGCTGACACATTTTGACAGATGAAATATCATAGCTTAACACTAACAGGAAGATCATTTAAACATCTTCTTTGGGAGCTGATGACTTTCATACAGTACTATAGATATGTGGATTGAATGTGACAGTAGATGTTTTCTAACAAATACCTTTAGAATGATCAATAAAGGTACCTGATAGTATATAGAGAAACTAAAATAATAAAGTACTTGTCAAAGTAATAATTCCTTACTTAAGGTGACAGCTTATGCAAGTTATCAGGCTTTAAATCTCACCTCCTACATCTCCTCGACACTGCCGTTTGGATTGTAAGCCGATTGGAAGAGCGACAATAAAATGCTTTCACATTATTTCATAATTGGTAAAGGTGTGAATATATATGCCACTTTATGCAAGTTACATGATGAGGAAGAAAAAAATGCATATTTGTTAATAATATACACGCTCTCATTGGACTTGGCCAAATCATTAGTAAAGGTGTGAGCAACGTTTCATTGCATAATAAAGAAACAAACATCCCATTGACTTTCTGAAGATAGATGGCCTCCTACAATCCACTAAGAAATTCAAATTCCAAAACAAGAGACAATTAATTGATAAACTAATTGTAACTAGAAATATCTGAGATTTTATGTGCTGTATATAATGAATAATATGCAAATAAACATTAGGCTCCAGGTTGAATGGCTGTTGTTTACATCCACATTGCTATTGACGGATGGAATCACATTAGCCAATACACCGTGCCACAACAATCGTGATGAGTACTTAGCTGTGGTCCAAGTGTCAATGAGGCAATTAGTCTAACAATGACTCGCCCGCGGAGCCCTGGAACGCAACCTGGATGACAGACAAAGCATTTTGCCCTGGTTTTGATTGGTCTACGGAGACTTAACCAGCAAAAACCCGCCATTATTCAGGCCCACAGCTATAGAGACCAGGATGCTTAACGCTGCCAGTCATGTTATCTGGAACAAGACAAACATTTTTTTCAATACGACTCGCATATCCTGTAGCATCAAACTTCGCACTTTGGTACATGTGGATATTTTATAAGTACCCAGGTATCTTGAACCAGATGTGGAAAAACAGGATCCCTTGTAGCATATAAATCTGCAGTGACCTTCTGGCTTGCAGTGCGGGTATATAACCAGAGTCCTACAATGCTACACTTAAGGCCTTAAGCCTGGCATATACTGTAATCCCTCAATAGCTGCAGGCAGAATTCATCAGCACATTGGAAGAGTTAAAATTCGAGAATTATAAACTGCCATTTTTGCTAAGGAACTGCTAAGACAAGAATGTTTGAGGAAGATCTGGACATAGAAACTAGACTCATCGCAGTCAACAAGAGCCCGATGGAAAGCGAAACGCGGAGCTATTCAATGAGGAGTCTAGCAGAGAAATCTGGCCAATTTATTGCAACTATGCAACTTGAGATTGACAGTATTGATTGAGCATCACCTTTCTGAATTAAAGTTGCATTTAATGCCTTGGAACATGTTAAATACACAAATGGGTAAAGGGGAAGAAAATCTGATGGCTGCAGAAATACCCTCAGCGACTGCATAATGGACTGAATCTTCTGTCTGATTCAATTTCCATTAGATAGAGAGTGCACTGTTTTGCTCATTGGACAACAATTTTTGGACACACCGGGAAACCTTTCTCGGGATGATAAACTTTCTCTTTTTAATGGGCTAAATCTTCAGCATAGATTTCCCATCTCATTTATGCGAGTCTGACAAATAGACCGTGAGCATAGAAGAGTCTGCGTTAGCACGTAGCCAAGCGGACCCATCGAGTTCCTGCTACTTTATAGCTTGTACAGTAATCTGTGTGCCACTGAGATGTGTGCTCCTTTCGCCATATGATCACTGAATTCCTTTTAATATATGTCTTCTACCTATGAACCAACAAGAGTAAAGATATCTTTGTTCTCCAGTGGGATCTTTTGCAGCTCAGCCTAACTCTGTGCCAATTAACAAAGATATTTTTACTCTGCTTTAGAGACCCCCTTTACATATAAATTAACAGTTTAGTGATACATTTAGCAACATAAGTAATTAAGGTGTAATAATCCAGGCTAACATGGAACTACTCAGAGACTCAGCTTTGACATTTTGTCCAGTACAGTTTGTACCTCTGATGTTACGGAGGTAAGTCTGATACAGATGTCTGGGAGACTTCGGCGCGATTATCCTCCGATTGTGAAAACTAGGCTGCAGTGATTTTCTTTAGTCTATATAATGAAACAATGAAAAAAGTACCAAGAATAATGTTGGTTTCGGCTCCCCTTCTGGACGAATGGGAAGCGGCAGGCTCCCTGCTGTGAAATGGAGCATGCTACACCATAGCAACTGGAAAGCTATATTCTTAGCCGCAGTAATGTGGCTATTTTTTAGCGAGGCAATGATGAACTGAAATCCATATTACTAATTTGTTACTCCTATTCTCTTATTCATATGTAGTAAGCCAACGAAAAATCTTTAGGAAAATGGTGATATAATCATGATAAAAGCAGACAGTTTTACATGGTCTTTAAAGTAGTATCACATAGGACTGGACCGTATGAAAAGTTTAGTATGTTCCTAGTCTCAGAAATTGTTTTATAAAAACACCGATGATGATTAATGCTGGTCATCCATTATCCTCAATCATTTAGCCTCATTTCATTTAAGCCATATTATGATTGGAGAGAGTGACGGATTAGAAGCATGTCAAAAATCCAATGTTAAAGACAGAAAGTAAAAATAAGTGACATTATACCTACATGCAATTATCTAATAACCTCATGCCGCTCTTCTAGTTTAATGGAATCCACAGATGTTCAGATGACCAGGGTAAGGAAAAGAATCTTATATCAAATTGTTTTTTTTTCCTCTATGTGGAAGGATGGGCCCCATTTAATGAGAAGTTTTGCCTGAGCTATTTTATTTATTCATTATAATTTTTTTCCCCCACCGATGCATTATCCTCTAGACACGTTGTCCACTCTGTCTCAACAGCTGTCTACTTCCGACGAAATTGACTTTAAATTCCTCATTTGCTACCTGGAGGAGAGGGGAACGCGGGCATAATGGCCTTGGTGGCTTCATTCAGGGGAGGGGGAGGCTGCCAATATCAGTCATTTTCACATTTTCTCTGCCGGCCGCATTTCGTCGCCGTCAATAATCTCCAGGCTCCAGTACGCGACCTGAGCGTACAGGCTAATCTTTAAGACCACATCTCCAATTCTTCCCGTGACTCATGATCCCTGCAGCTCCCAGCGATGCCATTTCAGCAGGGCGGCCAAAACAACCGGCTGATTATTTACAAATGCAAATCGAAGTGGCCGCATCAACGCCGCTGCGATTTTCCCATGACAGGGCTGCCCGTCTCTCCTCTTGTTTCCTCGGGAAGTATTTGTACTCATTAAACGCAGAGAGGCTGCTCAGGAAAGACTCATCCTGTCCTCGTTTTAAAATACAGACATCAACTTTTTTGCCCTCCTCCCCCCCCCGCACCGTCCTCCTTTTTACCCCTTTTATTGCACTTCCTTGTGAAGTTGTCACACTTCAAAGCGACGGGATTGACAGGAGTGCCGACTGAAAGATTCTATTCATCTGCCGAGTGGAATTACACAGGCATCTCTCAGAACAGCCACTTCAGAAACCAGCTCTCTTTTCTTTAAATATCTGGCCCCTGGATGACACACCAACACAAAATATGTCTGCGAACAGAACAGAGAAGAGGAAAAAAATAAAGTCCTTGAGAAGAGCTGTAGTGTTGCGGCTGAATCGAGCATCAGAACATCAGTGCTGCACAGACTATTGCCAAATTAAATGACAGCAGAGTAATATTGTGAGATTGTCACTGGTATGGAACGGCCCACCTGCCATTGGTGGAAAGACAATGTCGGGATATTATCTGCAAAAATCATTTTCTTTTCTTTTTTTGTGAAGTGGGGATTCCCAGAGCCAGCTGATACCAAGTTCGCGCTCCTTCGCTGTGCCCTGCACCCGGGGAAGGGGTTTTACGCAGCATTCATCTTCTCGGGCTTCTGGGGAACTCTGTGTGCAGTGTGTGTTGTAGGCAGGGCCGGCCTCGCCTGGTCATGGCAAACACTGGACCGTCTCTGACCTGCCTGCCACAGAAATCTGTCAGCACTTGGGATCAGTCCATTGCCTCTATTACACAATCCATCATGTCTGTCAGCCTGTGAGCTTGCCTCGTATCCCAGGCAGAAGCTGTGCATTAAATCTGCAACGGTAAAGGCGCGTAAATGGGAATGCTCTGTGACTGTTCGGAAAGGAGAGTTAGGAATACTGCTGAGTTGCTTCCTGGTGAGTCCCCAATGCGCTTTACGGGCGGATATTATCCTGCCACACGGCGCTGGTCACAGAGACGTTTCAGAGCCTTGTTTTAGGAAACATCATGGAAGATGCGCAAACACGCGTGTGACAGTAATAACATTTGATAAGATGCTTCGGGTGCAATTTTACGACGGGAGTTTTTACCTTGATCTTATTTCGGGCCATTTTCCAGCAGCCATCTGGGAAATTTGAGGGCTGAGGTGTGAAAAAAGAACCTAACATTCCTGTTTTATGCTCATGATGAGATTTTGTCAAAAAAAAAAAGAAGTAGCAGCAATCTGTGAGGTAGGTATGCATCACTGCGAGACGTGTGCTGCATGACAATGCGATCTTGGTTTCCGAGCCACTCCAAGGCTGCTCCCCCCCGCCCCCCCCCCAAACTTGGGATGACACGACAATCCCAGGTCCCTCATTTTCCCCTGCTACCATTCTCATCTTTTTTCTTTGTGTGCGAACTCCCAGACTGATCGCTGGCCCACCGCTGGCAAACCTATTAACCAGAGCTAAAACCATTTAGTAAGGTTTCCAGAAGAAGGAAGTCTAATTTGTTGTACCTTCCCTGACCTATTGTTCACAATGCAGGTCCGGCCATAACAAGACCGATGTAAACATGCCCATACATTCAGATGCTGTTCTCTGCTCCCCAGCCCCTGATACCATTTTCAGCCGAGCAGAAAGATATTCTAACAAGACCAAAGCAGCTCAACCTTTTCCACCAGCCCCAGCAAAGGCAGGGAATGTGCTGTGATGGGTAGTTCTTTGTAGCCTAAGCGGCAATCATAGCTGCAATTACCGCAGCATAATTACAGGACTAATTGGACATAACAGAGTAATTGTGGCTGTAACCACCAATGCCGCTCTACCGGTGAGAATAACGAGAGCCCAAGGCGATCAGCAGGCATCTCAGCTGTGGAAGAGGAGTCCGTGTGCTTGGAAGGGATCACGGTACCACCGAGCCCTTGTGCCCCCATCCCTCAACCACCCCCCCCCAAAACGAGCCCCCACCATTATCAACTCCATGCACTAACCTCTCCTCCACTGGGCTGGATGTGTGACAGATGCCCCGGCACAGCAGACCGGCAAGCCAGTCAAACGCACAGCGCTATCCATCACTGTTGTCAAGGATCCATCATTATCCAAATATAAATCCTCCTCTTCTAAGCCACTGCTTCACTCGTCTGAGCGTGATGTCTTTATCAGAAGACCTCTGCCTAATTTATGACACAGGCAAGGGAAAAAATGTGCTCCATGGAATTATTGGTAGGTGTGCTGAAATAAACAAACAAACAAATTGACAAGCGGTTAGCATATTGAGTAGGAAACAGAAAACTGCCCTACGTGCCACTTTCAAACAGACTCCTCTTCCGTAATTTTGAAGGAGAAGGGGGAGAGAGGTATTTAAAGCTGCCGTGTTTTACCCCCTCCACCAAGCGGAGGGACTCCATGGGCTTGAGTGGAACATGGAGCGCAATCCAATGTCAATAATGCCACTTGCGAACAGCACATATTTATAGATGACAAAGTAGATTGTTCTCTCTTCATTTGATTTTATTTCAAAACATGCTTTGTGCTCTTTATGTAATTCATATTTCTGGAGGACAGGGAAATATTGCTGTGAGGAATTACAGCAATGACCCAGATTCACTGACTCAAGAAGACTGGATTGCAATTTTTGTTATATTTATTGATTTAAGTGGTTAATTTGTATCTAATCAATTCTGTCAAGCCTGTTTGTTTATTATTTAAAAAAATGAACATTCTTTTGTTGTATGGAGTCTATAACTGTCTGTTTGAAGGTCATCCCATGCCTTTGTTTGATACTGATGTAGTGGAAATTACAAGTTTGATTTTTTGGTCAGAACTTTGAAAAGAATATGCTCCTTAGTCCTAATCTCCTCCGCTTGCATGAAAGACCCAGTGAAAGCCAGACCATCTCCCACTCGCAGAATTTTTCAGGATGCCTCTGGCTTAGCAGGAGATTACAATGGATTTGCCACTGATCTCACACACTCTTATGCAAAAATAAAAGCCCTGCGTTCAATAAAAGCCCCCGCTATGAAGGTTGAAGTCAGTTGTCTTGGGATCATGACAGTATTTCCAACTTCGGTCAGCTGGCTGGAGTGATTTTCAGTTTGAAAAAATCTGGACATACATGCACACGCATTTACAAGTATGTAAACAGGTTTATTACCTTCTAAATAGTCTGTATTGTTTGCAAACTACCACACTGCTTTTGATGTAGCTAATTTTAGGTTTATAATGGAATAATATAAAATTGCCATAAGACTTCTTTCATGAGTGTGAGAGTCTGAAAGTGTGAGTGTCACGCCAGATGTGTGAGGGTCTGAAAGTGTGTCACGCCAGATGCGTGACAGTTGGCCGCCCTGTCATGCCAGGTGTGTATGGTGATGTGTATGATCACGTGTGCTAAAGATTTGAGACTTAACTGAAAGGCCGGTGCTTTCCCTTTGACCAACCAATCACAACATCTAAAAAATAATAACCAAAAAAAACCATCCACACAACAGCCCACACACTGTAAGAACAATTTTCTCTATTGTGAGCTCGAAAAGCAAAAAGTGCATTGTCCCTCTCTCAAAACACAATCAAGGCGAACGCTGGTTTATTTGGACATCAGAGTTTGTGATTAGAAAGTCCACAGCTGACACTGCAGAAAAATTACCTCATGAAATGATGAAATACAGGTGTAACAAGCCAGTAAGGTTTATTGTGACACATCCTTGGCTGCCGCTGAGGTATTTTTTTCTGCATTTTCTTCATATTTTGCCTGAGTCGGTTAGGTGGGTGGTTCCCCGGCACCGTGGGATGGAGCCAGCGCCGATATTGTTGTGCTGTTTGTTTCATATAAAACAAGTTTCTTGCAGCTGTGCAGATTATAATCGCCCTTAACTTGATGGAGAACCTTCTGGTGATGATGGTGTATCAGCCCAAATGAAATTAGTGAAATGTGTCTGTAGGTGCTGAAAAACGTCTGGTTACTGGTTCTTTCTGCGGTCTGGTACTGACCGCCATGACGTCAGCGCCACTTTTATTTGGATTTTTGGTCAGCATTTTTGCTTAGACTATGTTCATATAGTGTGGACCATCTATACTAATCGCTGAGGTATAGACTTAGAATGTCAATCACTTGGTGATTATGAACTTAAGTTGTTTTAATATATTTGTCATTTTTCCAAAATCATTGGCCAAAACAGAGGGCATGGATGGGTAATCCCTGCAGAATGCTCCATCACAAGACAGGGATCTTTGCCGTCTGCATCCCTCCCAGTGTGAGGCGGCGACCTGTGCAGCTGCAGGTCTGCCTCCTGCCTGTGGCAGCGATGTCTGTTGGTGATCCTTAGGGCTGTGATTGGGCAGGAGTTGAGAATATACACACACACACACACACACACACTCACATGAAGACATTGTGCATGAAACAGCACCCAAGCAACCCCATCTAAAAGGCTGTACAGTATGTCAGGGGAGAAGCCAAAGTTTCCTGCAAATGGGTAAGTTTATTGCAGCACATGCAATGCAGTTTCCCATAAGAATATCCTGTGAATGCGTCAAAAAGAGAAGCATGTATTTCATCATTCCCTCGCTGTTTTTTTTCTTTCCAGGTGAGAATTCATTCCAGGTCTGTTTGTTTTGGTGTGTCTGTGCTGGACTTGCCTGTGACACGTTTATGGTTAAAGTGCACAGTTTGGACTCTTCACTTGCGTCCAAAGGAAATTTAGAATCGTAAAGCCTAGGTCTGCATTTCCAGCAATGTAAGTGGTAATAACCTTACCCTGCAAGACAAGTCGCGGGTCGCTGGCAAAGATCTTCTCTTGCTTTTTCTTTACATAAAGAGCTGACTCCATCTTAAGCAGAGCATGTTTTGGATGGGTAGCAGTTCTGCATTTTGCCTTTTATGCACCCGAACCTCTTTTTAGAATAGGAGGCTGAAACGTTACACATTATTTTAACGCGAGAAATGCGACCGCCTCTTTTCTGCATGTACCAGTAGTGATGGATGGCCCCACCTTTCAAGAAAACACCCAGCCACTGAAGACGGGCTGCTGCACATCGAGACATGATGTAATGTCAGGACATACAGAGATGCCAACGCTAACGTCTTGCACAGCTCCATGGTGACGGCCATAATGGGAGTGTTGGGCTCTAACTCACTGATGTGCATCCTCACGTGGCTGGGCTTTGTTTCTCGTTTATTGAGGGAGTATTCATTGAACAATTCCTAACTGGAAGCAAAATCTGCCAGTGCCTATTACCTACTAATGGCTGAGAAACGTGGTGAGATATTAGCATGCTTTATAAATGCAGTTTACGTCGCAGTGCCTTACAGATGTATTATCACTTTGAGCATCGGTTGGAAGGTACTAAGCAAAAATATCATATTGTAGTCAGAGGCAGCTTCAGTGCAAAAATCGATCACTGTAAAACTTGTATCTAGATTCATACTGAAAATAAATCTGTCTGCTTCCCAAATATTGATTTGAGTCGTTTGAGGGCATAAGTTTCTATTTAATTAATTTTATTGATTGTTTTAAGCCATATGTACATGAATCTTAGGTGAAAATGCTTTTAATACGGGTGCCATTATGGCTATGGACTAGCTCAAAAATTGATTACCTACAATAAGGAGATAGATATTTCTTTTAAGACATGAGAAGATGACTTGTTCTTTTGTGGCAAGCTCCCAAACAAGCATTGTTTTTGTTTTATGTTCCGGCACAAATGCTCAAACGGAAAGTAAAAAAAAAACATTTTTGGCAGGCAAGTCTTCTGGTCGCTTCCCGAGACTTAGCAGCATGTAATGAATATGAGACAAAAACCATACAACAGGAAATAAACATCTGAAGGTCAAAAAGTTTTGACTCCTTTCCATGTGGTGCCACAAAAACACAGGAGGCAGGAAGCACTTTCAGTTAATAGCAGCCACCGGAGGTGCATACGCCCCAGAGAATGAAGACGGTCTTCAAAGCAGTGAGCCACTGCAGGTGATCTCGCTGCCGCGCTTCACTGTTGTGTAACACAACACCTCACCTCACTTATCTTTCATTCGAACGTCTAGCACAACGATTTTTTGCTACTTCGAAAATGCCAACACTGCATGCGATTACCAGGCAAAAGGATTATACATAATTAAAATAAAAAATAAAATGTAAAATAAAAAATACATTCACCTTTAATTTATATAGAATTATGATGCTTTTCGAAGGTTTACCTGGGAAGGCAGTGGTGCACATCACTGGTCTGTGGTCGCAGGTTTGAATCTGGCCCAACTTCTGTGTTGCAACCCTGTGTTTGTGCCGGTTTGTTCCTGACACTAAAGTTTCCTCTCACAGTCTAAAGATGTACTGTTCAGGTGTCTCAGACGTCTTAGCAATAAACTGTGTATGTGTGTTTGTGTGAGTGCGTGTGTTTGTGTGAGTGCATGTGTGTGTGGGCCCAGTGACAGACTGGATCTGAGTCATATGACCCAGAATGCACACAGTAAGTGGTTATTTTTGATGATTGAGTGATTAGACCACCCACTCTTCAAAGAATTTAAAGATGACATAAACCAAATCATTTTTAAGTTCATTTTAAAAAGTATACTTTCCATCTCAAAAGCACATAAAAGAATTTAATGTCTCTCAAGACCCTATGTTCTTATTTTCTTTAATTGTACTTTATTCTTTGCTTCATATTTTATTGCAAAAGTATGTAATTATCCAAATTTGTTCAGCAAAACAATGGTGAAATTTAGTGACAGTTTTTTTTCTTTAAACCATTCCTCTTAATAACAATGGAACTGTGTAATAATTTTAGATGTGGGAAATAAATTGAGGGTCCGAGCTTGGAAATACAAAGATGATGCAATTTAAAAAGCTGTGTGATATTTCTGCACACTTCCAAACAGATATCTTTATCATAAATGAGGAAACCCTTGGGAATGTCCTTCAACCTACGTTGAACTGCTGTGAATTCTTGACCCATGTGATTTACAGCAAAACCACTGTATCTCCAATTAATCTCCCTGGGCCCCCTCGCGCTCTCTCGACGTTTAGCTTGCCGGGGGGGGTCTCAGCTGAAAGGCAGATGAGCCGTTATTCATACATTTCCAGCTGCAGCAGTTGCTCGCGTTTTCCTGTAGCTATATTTCATTTGCGTCTTCAAAGACGCCGGTTTCTGTACTTTAACACGAGAACATAATTCCTCTCTAGCAGTTTGCTGACAGTATGATCGACTGTGACAAGCATATTTCAATAGTTTAAAGCTCTTAAAAATATAGCGTATTAGAATTAGCTAGCAGCTTTAAAACACAGAACTACTCACGATTTCAACATGAATGATGCATTTATCGTTTGTATTTTTTTTGTAATCTTTGTACAGTCAAATCATTTCACGAAAATGCATGCATTGGCATCCTTCTGAGAGATTCCCTGCCTCGTTCCCTGTTCTCCAGACTTGGTTACGTAATTATCGAAGATGGATGGGTATTTTGTTACTGTCTTGTGTAATTTCATGAAAAATTAAATGTAACTGTTGAGATCCATTTTCTGGCCATTAGCTACATCCCCTTAAATTTCATTATATACAGCCAGAGCATGGTACCGTCAGAGCAGAATATGCTGGTGACTTCTGCATTAGGTATTCAAATAAAGGCAGTCCAGTGTGGGGTCACAGCTGACCCCGCTGTTTATTTTCCCCGGGATATTTTGTTCAATATGTATCAACAAGAGCGGAAGGAATCTCCCAGAGCGCGTGGGGCATGGATATACCAGGCCGCGGCCGGGCTCCCACGTCGCTGCTCTGGAGCGGGCTGATAATACGCAGCTGTGCACAGCTGTATCTGTACTATCCTGCGAACAATTCTGTGCCCCGTGAGTCACACAGATGACATGAATCAGCTTTCTGTCTTTCTGTCTCATTATCTTTCCAGCTGATCTGCTCTCTGCTCTCATTTGTACCAACTATCGCAAGAGAATCGACACTTGCTCAGTAAAAAGATGGTAAACCAATTCTTAAGTGTAATTCTGCTTCTTGCGCCCCTGTAAAAAATAGTAACTTGAGTAGGATTGAGCACTGCCTTATTCACCATAGGCTTTTTTAAAAATAATTTCCACCATGCCTGGTTCACTTAATTAAACCAGAAACACATAAAATGCTTCAAAGGGAGCGAATCAAGCAAGCTAAGATTGGGCACCTTTCCAAAGGCACTCACACTGTGCCCAAACTCTTTCTGATGACTTTTGTAGAGTTACAAACCCTAATATGCTCTCTTTTCCCTAAAAACGTCCTTGATGTGGATGTTTGATCCTTTGTAAGACGCTTCAGAATCCCCAGTCCCATAGTCAATTATAGCTTAAATGATTTAAATCTACCATTCACCAAAAAAATAAAAAAATAAATGAAAAACAAACTCAATGGTCTTCAGTTCTCCTTCGTCTCACATCCTAATCGGAGATTCAGTCATAAGATATTCAAAGTCGTCTTTTTTTAGTTATAACCATTTCAGTTATAAAGGTAGAAATAATTAAATGCATGGTGCTCAATTATAAAGACTTTCCTCAATTTTTTAAGTTGGACTAACTAAGTAGCTAAATTAAACATTGATTTTTAGGAAGGGGAAAAAATGTTTTAGGTAGCTAGCTCAGGTAATGGTGCAAATTTTTCACACAAAAATCCTGCTACGACAACAGACATCCAAGAATTATACAGATCATACGCCAGCCACATCATGGATTTATTTCTAGTTGAGTGTATATATTATGAATATATACCATACATCTACCCATCCATTTTTTTTAACTGCTTTTCCTGTTTGGGGGGGTCTGGAGCCTATCCCAGAGGCTACAGGCAGGGAATAACCCAGGATGGGGGTGCCAAACCATAGCAGGGCACACTCACAGCTAAGGGCAATTTGGCAACTCCAATTAGCCTCAGTATGTTTGTGGACTGTGGGGGGGGGGTAACCGGAGAACCCAGAGGAAACCCCACGACGACACGGAGAGAACATGCGAAACTCCACACACGGAACCATGGCAGAGACTCAGAGCCCGGTCCCAAAACTGGGAGGTCTAGATATACCTTCGACTCATAATGTAACAATACAACTAATTTTAATTCATGTAATTCATATTTTATAAGTTGCCATGCTGACAGATTGTGATTATGTAAAAGTTACTCAAAAGCTTTCAGTGCTTTTGTAGCACTGTGCAATTATTTTATTCATTTTTTTTGTTTGGTTGCTGATTCAAATGGCAACAACTAAATGAAGTAGATCTAGGGAGATGTATAGGAAAATACCGTATAATGAAGTCTGTCCATATATATGTCTATTTTTATTTGTGTAGCGGGCCATGCAGTTCACTGGAATGCAGTTTCTCTGCCCAGTGCTTTCAAGTTAAACATTTATTAAGGGACCTCTCACAGCCAAAGTCATTACAAACAGTTTCCTTTCCTAGGCAGTGCAGATGAATTGCACTATAAATCATTTTACTTATTTGAATTACTTTTATATATTAATTAAAATTATTCATGTACTGGTGTGAGTTTCGTTTTTGTCAATAAAACAGAATGAACTGCATAATAAACCAAATAAACTGCTTAATAAAGCAAAACAGAGAACATTCTATTCGTTACATTTTAAATAACTTTCCCGGTTAATCGGTCACTTAAAATATAGAAATATTATTTTTGTGGTTAGAGATCCACCATTTAATTAACAACATGTAATGTAAGATGAACAGAGGGACACACTCATAAGTGGAAGGAAATTAAAACATTCAGTGAAACAATGACTCATAAGACTGGGAGAACAAAATGTAGGTTTTGGCATTGGTCATGATTGGCAGGTCAAAGGTCAGTATATGTTTAAGATTTTTATTGCACCACGGCATGGTCATGTGGTTCTTTCCATGAAACCTGGACACATTTAAAAATGGTGTGGCAAAGGATGAATAAAAACACTGTATAACTCGCATGCTTGTGCCTTTTATTACCAAAATTTAAGAAAAATGAAGCAATAGTCAGATTCTGCAGTGATACTGACTCGCATTGTCTGTCTATCTAGCCTGTTTCATTTGACATCTTCCCTTTCAGGTGGACGCCTAGGAATCTCCCACGCCTTCCACTCCACAGATAACTCCCTGTGAAAAAGGTTTGCATTTCAGGCTACTTGTATGCTGATTCCACATGGATACTCTTCCCAGCAAAAACTGGGTTCACAGGACAGGTGGTTGGGACTGATAAACAGGAGAATGTGAAAAATCAGGGCACATTTCACAGGGAGCGGAGTTCAGGACACTCCTGTATAACAAAGACACTGATCTGTGAACAAATCCTCAAAATGACAAGTGGCCAAAGCGGCCCTTCATATCTCAGCTCAACATCTTTGCAAAAAGTAAACAGTTAAATGGTTATTGCCACTACTAATTTGGCATATTATGCAAATAATAATAATAAGTGAGCAAACAAACAAACAAATAAAAACACTGGAACAACTTGGCTTAGATTACAGAGTTTAACCGCTGCAAGACCTTTGGATTCCACATTACAGGCCAAAAACAAAAACAAAAGAGATGAATTTCATGATTCTTCTACAAACTGAAACAAGTCACCTCTTCACCCTACAGTATGACAGGCACACTTTTCAAATTCCCCTTTAGAAAACATGAAGAGCTTTTTGATACTGCATTTCTAGTTATGACTGAATAGAGACACATCAATTTCCTTGGCAGACGGACCAGTCTGTCTGTACACAGAATGAGATGAATCAAAGGATTTGATTGCATTCCTGAGCAAACCGGACATGCTTAGTTGTGCTACAACCCAAGGGTGTAACTTTGGATTGAACACTGGGGGGGGGTTGAGATCCCCACCCATTCATCATGACAATATGATTATTTGGGGAGGGGGGGTGTTGCCTGGTTCTGTAATTTACACCCATGCCACAATCCCAATTAGCTTTTTGTTCTGTGACAGAGCTGAGGGAATTCCTTCGGTAACCCATGATATATCTTTGTCAGCTCAGCATTTCCATTTCAATGTATTGTCTGTCCACTGCACTAATTGAGAATTGTATTTAAGAACTGCTGAAATACAGCACACTCAATTAAGTGTGTGTTCATTTTAATCCTTTGGCAATTTATCACAGGTGGAAAATGAAAAAAAAACCATCTAACTGTACTGCATTTGGGTGTCAGTATACATTTTTTTCAATGTCCCTACCCATTTCACTATTAAATATCTATACAGCTTAATCTCAAATTTAAGGTGATACAAAATTTAATATAACATTGATTGGCTTATAAAGGGGTATTTTCAGTTCTAAGCATTTTATGTCCCAAGGCAGAGACAGGAATTTTATTTACATATCACAGTCTTGAACAGAGTC